ATGGATATCCGTAATAGCTATTGCTTTGGATTGCGAAAAGGTTTTATAATTATCTTGAGTTTATTTCAAGTTATTGCCATTTTATACTGCATGTATTTGGGAAAATTTTAATATTAATAAAATTATTTTAATCGTAACGATTTAATTATTAAAACTTTACATAAGTAGTTTAATATTTATAATAAATGATACAATTTCGAAAATAAATGTTATTAAAGATAAAATAAATCCAAATATCAATATTACAAACGATATCAACAATTGTTTCACATTTAATGCAAAATTTTTTGTTTTAAAATCATTTCCATTGTATTCATGTTTATAGTTGACAATAATATTATTATTATTAAAATAATCCATATATAAGGTATAAAATACACCTTGAAATGATTTATCATTTTCAATGCCTGACTCATATTGACACTTCAAACTGTAATAAATTTATTTTTTTAAAACTATTATATAATTAATACTATATTATTATTTTTCCATAATACTGTACACTGAAAAGGTAATCCCATTTTAAGCTTATGGTCAATTAATTTACCTATCTCCATATTAATTTTTAATTTTTAATTTAGTTATTAATTAAGTTTTATATTAATTTAGTTGAAGGTTATATTTCTATAGTAATGGATATCCGTAATAGCGATTGCTTTGGATTGCGAAAAGGTTTTATAATTATCTTGAGTTTATTTCAAGTTATTGCCATTTTATACTACATGTATTTGGGAAAATTTTAATATTAATAAAATTAATTTTAATCGTAACGATTTAATTATTAAAATTTTACTTAAGTAGTTTAATATTTATAATAAATGATACAAATTTCGAAAATAAATGTTATTAAAGATAAAATAAATCCAAATATCAATATTACAAACGATATCAACAATTGTTTCACATTTAATGCAAAATTTTTTGTTTTAAAATCATTTCCATTGTATTCATGTTTATAGTTGACAATAATATTATTATTATTAAAATAATCCATATATAAGGTATAAAATACACCTTGAAATGATTTATCATTTTCAATGCCTGACTCATATTGACACTTCAAACTGTAAACATATATAAATATTTTAGAAACTATAATAAAATAATTTTCAAAAATTACAAACATTTTCCTGAATTGTGTCTTAAATTCTTGAGACGCAGTCTTCCGCATAGGAAAGCCATACAAATACATATCCTGTGTATCACTCGATGCCATCAAATCATAGTTTGAGTAATATTTTATAATTTCATCATACACTGTTCGCGAGCCAATTAACACTACATTTTGTTCAATAAGTCTTAATATAGTACTCAATCGGTAAACATCCAGGTACTCAACATACTGTATACGAGGTATCAGTTCATTGTGGCGCTAATGAAAAATTAATTAAAACATTAAAATTGTATTGTAACTAGACTGTTTAGTAATTTTTGTTAAATGTGTCAAGATACCTTTTTAAGATATATACCAATATAGGTGTTCTTAGGAACCATTACATCGATATNTTAATAAATACATTGGTAACTATAGCAATAGTATATGTTTAAATTTTGTTTAAATAAGAGAAAATTAAAAATATATTTTTTGACTAATAATTAAATTTTATTGTTATCATCTATATATTTACTTACTTATTAACATTTTAATATTGTTTATTCGCATAAAACATATTTTAAATAATTTCTAAATTTATAATAGATTTTCAATATAATATTTAATTAAGTTTTTTAAATTAAATTTACTTTATTACATTTTTTGTTTGTACAAAATATTTAAATGAATAATTAAATTTTATTGTTATCATTACTTACAATTTATTTGTTATTTACATTTAATTACAGTACTATATATAATATATTATTTTCTAATCTAGATATACAATTGAAAAGCATTAATTTTTAACTATATTTTAAAACTATGTGATAATATGATACCGGGTTTGTTTATTTATAAATTGCAATTTGTTTAATAAATACATTGGTAACTATAGCAATAGTATATGTTTAAATTTTGTTTAAATAAGAGAAAATTAAAAATATATTTTTTGACTAATAATTAAATTTTATTGTTATCATCTATATATTTACTTACTTATTAACATTTTAATATTGTTTATTCGCATAAAACATATTTTAAATAATTTCTAAATTTATAATAGATTTTCAATATAATATTTAATTAAGTTTTTTAAATTAAATTTACTTTATTACATTTTTTGTTTGTACAAAATATTTAAATGAATAATTAAATTTTATTGTTATCATTACTTACAATTTATTTGTTATTTACATTTAATTACAGTACTATATATAATATATTATTTTCTAATCTAGATATACAATTGAAAAGCATTAATTTTTAACTATATTTTAAAACTATGTGATAATATGATACCGGGTTTGTTTATTTATAAATTGCAATTTGTTTAATAAATACATTGGTAACTATAGCAATAGTATATGTTTAAATTTTGTTTAAATAAGAGAAAATTAAAAATATATTTTTTGACTAATAATTAAATTTTATTGTTATCATCTATATATTTACTTACTTATTAACATTTTAATATTGTTTATTCGCATAAAACATATTTTAAATAATTTCTAAATTTATAATAGATTTTCAATATAATATTTAATTAAGTTTTTTAAATTAAATTTACTTTATTACATTTTTTGTTTGTACAAAATATTTAAATGAATAATTAAATTTTATTGTTATCATTACTTACAATTTATTTGTTATTTACATTTAATTACAGTACTATATATAATATATTATTTTCTAATCTAGATATACAATTGAAAAGCATTAATTTTTAACTATATTTTAAAACTATGTGATAATATGATACCGGGTTTGTTTATTTATAAATTGCAATTTGTTTAATAAATACATTGGTAACTATAGCAATAGTATATGTTTAAATTTTGTTTAAATAAGAAAAAATTAAAAATATATTTTTTGACTAATAATTAAATTTGATTGTTATCATCTATATATTTACTTACTTATTAACATTTTAATATTGTTTATTCGCATAAAACATATTTTTAATAATTTCTAAATTGATAATAGATTTTCAATATAATATTTAATTAAGTTTTTTTTAATTAAATTTACTTTATTACATTTTTTGTTTGTACAAAATATTTAAACGAATAATTAAATTTGATTGTTATCATTACTTACAATTTATTTGTTATTTACATTTAATTACAGTACTATATATAATATTTATATAAAAATATTAAAAATAGATATATATTTTAATAAACAATAATCAATAATGCAAAAATATTATATACAGTATCACAATTAACTTTATTTCATATAATTGTGCAACTTGCTTTATCTGTTTTAGTAACGTTAAAACAAAATTTTAAACAATTTAAATAAAGTATTGGCGTATTTCATTATATTAAATTAGCATCATTATAAGAATATTATAAATAATTATTCAGTAACCTGATTTGTAAATAATAATAGCACCTGGTAAAAATTCCTAAAATGAAATATCGTTAAAATTAAAATTATTTTTATTTTAATATTTTAATATTTTAATATAGTATTTCATAAAAATCTAATATCAAATATTCTAATACCATGTTTATAAATTATTGGATTTACATTTCAGTTACATATAAATTCTATATTATTTGATATTTTACTTAAAACTAGTTTGGATGTGACAAGTTTATTTTAACTATGTAACTTATATTGTTTTAAATTGGCATTAAAAAATCAAATTAGTTTGTGAATTTTGTAGGGAGTATATAGCTACAATTTTAAAAATTCTTATATTATATTCTTATTAATAACAAATTGTTTTTTCCAATAGTTATATTGTGGTGTATCGGGAAATTTAACCACAAATAATATGAGAGAAGTTCTTAACGTGATTGGTCTAAAGCATGCATTAACAAAACTTAAAATCTTAAAAATAGTGATGTATTAAATCTATAATTTTATTAAAAGTACACAACACTAGTAATATAAACTTTTAATACTAAAATTAGTGACTGAAATTACAAGCTATTAGTTTTTAATCACAAAAAATCCACATTTAACTATTAATGAGTTAAGATTCATTTATATTAAAAAGTAATAATTTCTAATATTTAATTCAAAATCTCAATGATTAATCAAAATATTCACGAATAAAATAAAAAACATCTGTATTATAGTAAATTATTCATTAAGGATTAAAAATATTAGTGTTGTATTAAATGATAAATAAGTACTATGCCTTACAACGGTAGCTTGGCTCTGGAGCCATAGTATGTTAATATATGGTCTAAAGGTACACCAGGGTATCACCAAATAAATATTATAATTGCCTGAAAGGCGTGTTTTGTATGAATAATTGCTTAATTAAAACTTAAACATAAAAATACAATTAGTTTTGAGAGACACTACTTTTGATACACATATGCAGACCGAGAGATAGAGAGACACTGAGAAGTATGGGTTACGGTTTGGGACACATGGTTTATACTTAATTAATGGTATTTTTCAATATTATATTCTTGTATTCCGGGGAACTGGACTATATTTTGATTTGTATTATTAATTTGTTATATTTATTGACAATTACTTATTTTCAAGCTCATAGACCAACAGTTAATGAGTTGCAAATATGTTATGAGAAAAATTATAATACAATGTCATCGAGAGATTTACTGTTAAATTGTTTAATGAACCAAAAATTTAAAAGTTATGCTAAAAGTCAATACATAGCACTCAATGTATTTGCAATTAATATGCAGTTTTTATTTGTGTTTTTAAGTTCCGTCATTACATTCACTGTTATGTTAATACAGTTGTTAAACAATTAACTAATTGTTTATTTAAAAGATTGAGTGATATTACAATATTTGCCAAAATACTTAAATTTTAAAAAAGTTGATTTATTAGCACATTATATGTTTGTCTCATTGAATGAAATGACGTGAGTGTCGATCGTATGGATCGCATGGTTTGCAAAACTCCTGTCCCATCAATCGGACCCATTTGGTGGCAATCCATTTGTGTCCCACCAGTACAGGACACCCGCTGTGCCGGAGCTGTCCATCGAGTTGACCTGATTTGTGCAAATTGTGCCAAAATAGTGCCGAGTATTTTGCGGGCCATACGGTAACATTGAGGAGTGGGAATACTGTGGCCCCACCGGCGCTCAAATCGCTCAGGTAGTTGATCCACGTGGCGATGCGCACCTTATTGTTTATTGATATGTTTGGACTGTTAAAGGTGTCCAGTGGTTGTCATAAAACCCTCCGACACTATACTTAATAGCATTGTATGCTTCGGCGAAATGCATGTTAAGGCCAGTGATGGCACCGATACGTCGGCTGATTGTGTGCACGAGTTTGTGGCGTCTGTCCCCAAGCCAACTGCCCCGAGCCAGTCGGACGTTCACTCGACTGACATTCGCGACAATTACTCTGTCGAGTGATGTCTGAGCCAAAGAGATGATGGTTTGTGTCTCGTATTCCGACAGGAAGTCATGAATTACAACGATTTGCGGACTTTTGTACATCTCTTCCACTTTAATGCGAGTCAACCGTAAAAACGGTGTTTTCGTTGTGTTTAAGTGAAAACACTTGAGTTTAGAGGCAATCGAGTCATTCATAAGTTTTTCTCCGCGACATAATTCATATACATATGAAGACAAATGAAAAATAGGTTTATCTTTGAGACCAGAAGAAGTGGTATTCATGTCGTTAAACACTTTGATCTCTGAAATCAATTCATTTGTCTCGATGTCTGGCTTTATAGCGGCCGACAGTCTCTTATATTTCTGGGCTTCACTTGATTTTCCAATTTTCAGTTCACAAAATGACAGGTAATTAAAAATATCTATAATTATCTCATCGCTGGTCATGTCATCCAATCTATCGATCGCTTCTATCAACCATTGCTTTGCATTCGAGTACTCCTTGTTATCAAACGTTTGTTTTCCTATCAAATAGCAGTCGAAAGCATTTAAAGCATATTTGGATTGATTTTCATGTGAAGTCATGTCAGCACTGGAACTGGTCTTAGATCTAATGAATCCATTCGCTAATGACTTGATATCCAAATCATAAGTACTGACGAGACTTATCACTCCAAACGCCGCGTCTGTCCACAAGTTATCAATATTTATAATAATTTTCATTAATATCTTTATTATTAACTTAAACTTCTTTCAATACCTTTTAGTTCTTTATTAGTGATAATCTCATGACCACTGGACACAAATTGCGAGTCAAACGTGACATTTAATGCATTTGTATGGTTAGAGTGACCACCGATTTGTCTCATTTGGACATCACTTAAGCGCTGGTCTTTGGTTCGCAACAAATCTTTCACTTCTTTCCAGTCGATAGCCATTCGTCTGATGAGGAGATATACGTCGAGTGGATGTCCTAAAAGTGAGTCCTCGGTGTCGCCTTTCAGTGCAATTGAGTTCAAACTCAACGACTTGTCTGTCAACCGTCTTAAATGGGAATTGAGGACCTCTTCGGACACCAAGTATTCACTCAACGACTCAATCATTGCTTTCTCTTGCTTTAAGAGATTCTCTAGTTTTGCGAAATCACTGTTAAAACCATTCACTCGTCCATTGAATCTCAATGTATAATACAATACGAAACTAATAATTAAGAAACTCTTCATTTTGATCGCACCATATGTTTAACTATTTTTTTCTAATTATCAACTTTTGGCCAAAACTAATAGTAAATTCTCAGATTTATCTGAAATAAATGCGAGAATACAATACACTTTTTGAATACAGTCTATGATTACCGTACAAAGAATATTATCGTTAGTTATACACTAAAATTTATAACTTTATTAATATGTATTCATAATACAATTGATTTCAAAAGACAATAATTTTTATACTTCTATTCAACCCGAGAGATAGATAGATAGACACTGAAAAGTATGTGTTAAGGTTTGGGGCAAATATGGTTTGCACTTAATTACAAGTAATGGCGGAATTTAATTTCAAAATCTCATTACATCTCGATATAATGGATATTCGTCATAGTACTGGATATCTATGCAAAAAATGGACCTTGTTTACCGTGAGCTTGCTTCAACAGAGTATGCAATTATTCTATACAATCGTGGCTATCATATGGATAACATAAACTACTGATAAATCTGGAGTGAGCATACATATAAATAAAATCAACACTTTTTTATGATATTGAATATAACTTTAAATAATATTATTGTTATTTAAATACACACTGGTCATATATAGATTGGTATACATATTGTATTATTGATAGAGTGTCTGGTAAAAGTTGGTTTAAGTTTAACTGGTACATTTGGTGCTTATAATGAGCACTCTGGACTCACCATTACTTATGGCGTACTCAGTGTCCTAACAGCAGTATTAAGCATAAATGCGCCAGCTCCAATTCTGGAATTCATAATAAATGGTTTGATTAGTGTACTGGCATTTTCATTTGCCAATGATTGCAAAAAAGGGTAGTATTTCAAAATGCCACCTCTCGTGAACTAGGACAATACCCTGTATAACTCAATATATAATGTATGACTAAATTAATCAAAATAATTCATTGCATAAAATATAAGTTATTGCATTATCCTACCAGATTAATATGATACAGTACTTGCTTATTAATATTTTGATTTATGCACATGTTAACTATGCTTTAATATCTTTAATATGATTGTTTTGGAATTATAAAATATTGTATTAGATTTAAATTTATATATTGGATATTTCAAATTAACAAGAATTTTATTATTAAACGAAAATCTTATAATTTTATAAAATTATAATTAAATATACTATCGCAAATTATTTTCATAAAATGTTTATTTTTAAATTTAAAAATTTTCTAAAAATATTTTTATAATAAAATAAATATTATTAATTCTTTAATATACTAAAAGGTCAATTGATTACCATCCAAGTTATGTCAATTAATACAATTAAATGCGAAATACAATACCTATCATAATGGATATCCGTAATAATGATAGCTTTTAATTAAAAATGCATTAATAATTATCAACATTTCTCAAATAATCGTAATTTTATACTATGGCGTAAGTTATATTGCAAAAGATATTTTATCATGATTCTTATTCTAAATAATGGTTATTTTTAATATCAATATTTTAAACACAAAGGTTTTAATAATCATATTGGTCGTAATATGCCTGGGGATTTGTGGTCTATGCTCAACAGGGTTGTTTGGTGCATCCGAGTACTCGCATATATTGTACTTATGCTATACTAATTATTCAATCGACATTGCTGACCCTGAACCAAGCTCTAACTCAATCGACCATGTTCATAGAATTTGTTATCAATTTGACTTTTACTTTAGTAGCATTCTCATTTGCTGAACGGTCCAAATATTCATTAAAATTAACATGGACACTGTTATAACAGAACAAAATACTATTGTATGAATGAATTAGTATTATTTAATATTATAGTAAATATGAATAACATTGGAAAAATTTTAAAATTAGTAAAATTAAATTTAACTGTTACAATGTAATTATTATAATTTTAAATAAGTAGTTTAAAATTTATAATAAGAAGAATTTGTATTAAATAATTTATACTTATTTCAAAAATAATTGCTATAATAGATAAGATAAAGCCTACAATCAATATTACAAACGAAATCAACAATTGCTTCACATTTAATGCAAAATTCTTTGTTTTAAAATCATTTCCATTATAATCATGTTTACTATCGGCATTAATATTATGAACCAAATAATCCCTATATAAGGCAGAAGTCACAATTTGTGATGATTTATAATATTCAATGCCAGACTCGTATAGACACTTCAAACTGTAAACATATAACACAAATCTTAAGTTTTCAAACAAATGAAGGCTTTAAATATTTTTATTGTTGACGACTAAATATTAAAATATTTTTAACTTAAACTCATACACTTTATATAGTAAAGACTTTAATATTTAGTGGTCAGCAACAAAAATATTTAAAGCTTTTATAAGTTAAGCATAATTCCTGAGTATTCATCTGTTTTAATACTTTTCAAATAATTTTCTAAAAATACAAACATTTTCCTGAATTGTATCTTAAATTCTTGAGACACAGTCTTTCGCATAGGAATGCCATATAAAGACAAATCATTTGTATCACTCGATGCCATCAAATCATAGTTTGAATAATATTTGACTAATGAATTGAACCAACCCTTCGAAGCGATTAACACTACATTTTGTTCAATAAGTTCCAATATAGTACTCAATCGGTAAGTCTCCTGGCGCTCGATATACTGTATGCGAGGTATCAACTCTTTGTGGCGCTAATTAAAAATTAATTAAAATATTAATATTGTATTGCAACAACAGTAGGCTGTTTAGTAAATTTTGTTAAAATGTTCCAAGATACCTTTCTAAGAAGCCTATCATTATTGGTGTTCTTACCGACCATTACGTCAAT